AAGATTTTTGCCATAGGATACATACACTTGCCAGAGAGACACAGAGACAGAAAGAGACTCACCCACTGATGATGGCCACGCTGGAATTCCTTCTTCATTCTCCTCTTGGGATTTTGGGTATGCACACACATGCACCCCGTGTGCGTTTTTTAAGCCACAAGGTCCAGGACGCGAACTACAGAGCTGGCCATGTGGGATCCAGTGCTTTAACCACCATGCCATCTGCTGACTCAAGGACAACCTCTTTCGGATCCTGATGGGATGTGAGAAAGAGAAAGGCGGCCCCTGAGGTCCAGGGGCTGGCCTGGCACGCGCAGCCAGGCCGCGGGGTCCTTTCGTGGAACGTAAACAGTCGTACAGCTCACCGTCATCAGACAGGGCCACTCAGGCCGTCACGGTTTGAGACAGAAGCAAGATCCCTGTCTGGGAGAGAGGCTGAAGCCTGGTGGTTGAAGCCACGAAGTGACCAAACGCCCACATATGCATCCTGGCTGCTGCTGTGTTACCCGGCGCCTTCCTGCCAGATAAGCGATAGTGAGACACCCAGGCGTAAAGTCACACCTCCTCCGTGACAATCCAGGGAGAACCCCGCTTCCCTAACTGTCCCCAGAATCACCCAGGGCAAGCCCGTGTCCCGTGGAAAGTCCTCTGTGTCCTCCTTCAGAGCTGGCCCACAGGCGCCATGAGTATGCGCTCTGTACCGAGCCGTAAACGCACCTCCTTCAAGTACAGTGTCCCCTGCTTTTTGGCGGAAGGACGTTGACAGAAGGAAAGGAACATTTGTGGCTTCAGTGAGCCAGGTTTTTTCCCTTTGATATCTCAGTTAATCACTGCATTGGCCCTGCGGGGTACGTAGCAGCATTTTACAGATGAAGAAAAAGTGTTAGAAAGATATTTCCTCAAGGTCACCTACTCAGACACCAGTGCAAGGGCTGGGCTGTAGACTTGGGTTTTCCTGGCTCTGAAGCCCACGTTCTTTCCCCTGGGCCGGCTGTGCCCCATTGGAAAGGGTGAGCCTCGCTCGGAGATGTTACACAAGACAACTGTTACTCTTAGCTGGTTACTAGCATCAGATATTAAAAGTTCTTTCCTCCCACTTTCTGCCTGGAGATTTATTTTTGAGACAAATACTTTTTTTTTTAAATTGAGAAGTGAAAACAAACTTCTAGATCTGAAAAGAAATTTTTTTTTGGAGAGGTTTTTGTTATAGGGCACATGTGCTCACCAGACAGACAGAGAGAGACAGAGGACAGAAAGCGAGACATCACCCGCCAGGGGGGATGGCCACGCCGCAATCCCTTCTCCATTCTCCGCTCGGGATCTTGGGCACGCACACATATGCGCCCGGTGTGAGTTTAAGCCACCGGTTCCAAGACTTGAACCGCGGTCGACTACATGGGAGTCCAGCAACGTAGCCTCTACACCAACTGCTGGTCCCAAGGAGACTATTTTTCAGAGGCGATAGCCCTTGGGATTAAGGCTGTAGGTGAGGACGAGGCTGCCACATTGAAGCCCAGGGCACTACCCACCTTGCTGGGTTGGGGGCACGGTCAGTATGGTCGCAAGTCGCGAGCCTTGGTCAGGTCTGTGTGAAGTGTGACCCCTCCTGCTCCCCGGACCTCACTGGTGAAATGGGCCGCGTCCCATAGCGAGGTAACCCCGTCAGCCTGCCACCCCTGCTGAGCTTTGCTGTCTGAGTCGCGGCGCCTGAAGACCAGTTTCAGGTCCAGGGAAACACCTGCTGCTGTGCACGTGAGGGCCGTGTGTTAAGAGCCTTAGAACTGCAGTGTGTTTTCTTCATCTTTCTCAGACACGTTGTTAATGTTTATCCATTTGTTTCTTCAGTGAGGGAGAGAGAGAAGAGAGACGGGGAGACAGGCACCCCGCCGGGTCCTCCCCCGTCCTCGCCCGCCCCCAGCCATTCTGACACAGGCACACGCGCTTACCTAGCGTGCTCGGGGAGGCCCCAGGATGTGAACCGGGGACCTCTGCCGTTTGTGTCCAGTTAGTTGTGTTATCGTTGCACCACCGCCAGCCTCTCCTTGTATTTTCTTAAGAGTCAAAATAATATCACAAAAACTTGAAAAAAAAATCAGAGAAAACAATGACCCCTGCCCACGTCACCGTACCTTCGTGCTGTTCTTACCCTTGTCCCTTCCAGCCTCGGACCACACGCACGCTGGCCTGGGTCTCGAAAGTGAGCCCCCCACCTTCGTTTCTGGAGCTTTCTGTGGCGGCGAGGCAGCAAGGCCCTGTGTTTGTCGGGCGGCTTGCCACTCACTTTAAACCACTGCGTGCGAGTCTCGCAAGCCGTGTCGCCC